GGTTCTATAATTTATGCGTTGAAATTGGGAATAGGCGGGGTGGCTAATAGGCGAAGTTCATTTGCCGTGTATTAACGGTGTTTATACTCGCGGGGACAACGCGATCCTCGTTAATCACGACAAATTCACCGTGATTAATTACGCTTTTCGCTCGATTTACCATTCCGTGATCGCGAACCGAGAACCGCCCTCTCTTTGTCGCTCCACCTCTTCTTTTCTCTCCTTCGCTTGCCCCCACTCTTCTTCCTCCTCCCTCGTTTCCCTCCTCTTTTGTCAACGTATAATCGAGAGGAACGCAGCGTTTTGTCGCGAGAACGAGATCAAAACCTCGGAACACTCGCCTTCCGTTTCTTCTTCGCCTCCGTTTTGTGTGTCGAAAGAGTACGCAAGATACTCTCGAAATAAAACGCAGCGAGTTGTCGAGTAGTCTTTGATGATGATTTTATCATTTGGATCGACCCTCGAATTCTCATCTCTCTTTGAGATCGTAACGTAACCCCCTCCCTCTGAATAACTTATTCGTATTTATCGTGTTTGATGTGAAATTTAAAAAAAGAAAAAAAAATTGACTGATAAAAATATCGAAATATCGAATTTTTCGTTGCGAAAGAATATGAGGAGAACAAGGGGATTCTTAAAAGAGACGAGAAACTTCCTCCCTTCGGCCGGATGTGTCATTTGGTACCTGGGTCACGTAGCTCTTCGTATTGACAGGCCAACCAACCAACCAACCAACCAGCCAGCCAGCCAACCACCCTCTACCCTTCTCCCGCCCTCGCTTCGAATCTTGTTTCAGGCTTTATCCAGATTCAGGGGAACAATCGCTTCTTTTCCTCTTCCGTATAATAAAACCAAAATAATTATTCTTAATTCATTTGATCATGATCTGTTTAGCAGAAAATTAAAATTAAAAAATTAGCTCGATTCTTATTAAAGTTATTAGATAAATAATAATTTAATATTTTTCTCTTATTTTCAGAGTATTTAGCGTAGCAGATATGATACAGCGATGAGCCTGCAGGCACAGGCTCAAGCACAGCGCTCTGCGAGGTACTCCCCTCAAGAGACCATCAAGGTAAGAGAAAATTATATTTACATTCACTTTTCTTTCAATGGTACGTAATATTTCTTTTACGAGCAGGAGAAGATACCTTATCCAACGAGGAATCGTGGATATCAATATTTTTCGTTAGAGCATCTGCATATTCTTCTTCTGAAAATTCATCGTTCTTTTCTCGAGTTCTCGTATGGAGAATTGGGAACATGCGAGGTAACGCCATCTTACGGCGAATCGCTATTCGTATTCCACGACGAGTTTTAACGTAATTAACGCGGCCGCTCTATCGTCACACGCGATTCACTTCTCTCCCTCTTCATCATCGGGGTTAATCCTATACGTGTTCGAGTGTGCGCGACCTTGTATTACTTCCTGCCTGCTCTCAACTCGAGGGAGAATCCAGAGAGAAAAGTGTACGCGATTCCGTAGCTTCGAATAAATTTCGCTTCGAAGAAACGATCATCGAAAAGTTAGAATTTTAAGCAAAATTGCGTGAACCGTATCGTGATGAAATATATATATATATATAAATTTTCGATAGAACGAATATCGAGAAAAGAAACGAAATATCGAAGAAAGAATTTAATTCGTTCGATTCGTTCTTCTTTCTCGCACTAACTTGATTCTCATCTCTCTTTTCCTTCAAACGATTAATAATTCGCTATCAATTCTTTAATTTCGACTCGTAAAAGTTTTTTTCTACGATATTTCATTATACTTTTTCCCTCGTAACCACGCGCCAAAATATCCATAAACAGTAGTCCAGTTTCATTATACTCGTAAACTCGATTAGTCAGCTAATTACGATCTTGGCGCGATATAATCGCGTACTATCTATCCGGCACCGTGTCTGGTTATTAATTAAACTTGCAAATCGACTAATCGGATAATCGATAATCTCTAATTACACATACCGTTGGAATTAATATCAAATCCCGTTATGCAATCGAAATCGAAAAATCTTTGCGAAAAATCTTCGCTGTCGCGTGTTGGGTTTATCGCTTTTCAGCCGCGCCGTTCGAGAAAGAGAGACAGAGAGAGACAGAGAGAATATAAATTCCCGACAAAATTTTTAATTATTTCAATTGAATATATCAAACTGATGAATGCGATAAAATGAGTATAGTCGATATAATGAAAATGATAATTCCTTAATCAGATTCATTATAATAAAATTATTTTTATTAAATATGATGTTATTGCTAAAGTGATATTTTACGATTCTTCTTTGTATATGTATATAATTATAAATTATCAAATAAAAAATAAAAATACAATATATTTTTTAGAAACGTGTAGATACTGTTGTTACTTAATAATTAAAAGAGGAAATATCACGTTCATCTTATTAATATTCGAGATGTATATAAAACATATTTAATCCTGACCATTAGTATCAATAGTTGGTAAACAGCAATAAAGTGTTATATTTATCCGCGTACCGAGCATAATTTTCCACGCGAATGCGCTCCCGGCTCGCCGTTTTTTCCTAACGACTGTCTTAATTAATATTACCGACCCAGGTTCGCTGTCCGTGTACGCGATCGCGACCTTGTCGCTCCCCCTTGCTCCTCGTTCCGCGGATAATTTTCCGCGCCAATGCTTCAACTTTGCCCCCGCTCCTCCGCACCACCCGTCCGCCCCACCTTTTTTTTCTCCGCCTTCCGTGGCTCCCTCGACACGTCGAGAGGGACTTGGCACGGATGACAAAATGCTGAAATTATCGCCCCACCAATGATATTTTGCTCGCGTTTTTTGCTCTATCCTTGGAGGACCGTTGGAAACCGTTTCATTCGTCGAACATCGCGCTCGTATTTGAAATGTATACGACTGTTTGCTCTCGCTTCTCGCGTTGACTCGTTTATTATCCCTCGGCAAGCGAGCGATTTCTACTTACGCGAACGAACGAAAGTTTAACTTTTGTTCGGTTTAAGTTTGAGCTTATCTTTCCTTCGCTCTGTTTCTCTCCAGAAGGGAAAGAGTAGCGTCGTGGTTAATTCGTTTTAGTGGAGCGAAAGAGGGCCGAGATTTCTTCGTTCCCCCTTCTCTTCTCGGACGAGACAAACTACTTCGAACGACAAAGACGAAGAGATTTTGGATGTCGAGGGTCGGCCACGCCCCGGCCACGAGGACCAGATGATACACCATTTTGCGACCCTCTTGGTACCTGCCAAAATCCCTCGATACCTCCGTTGCGCGGATAATTAAAGATACAACGTCTACCACCGACCTCGCGCCACGCCAAACAGAACCCATTCTCTTGGATCGTTTCAACAACACGGAGTAGGGAGGGGGTTGAGAAAGCGGTAAATTAGCTTACGCGCACAGAATCTTATCGCCAAACTCGTGCCATTTCCCGTCCAATCAATTTTCACCGCCTTGCTCGATTATTTATTTTGTTAAATTTACCGAAAAACATACGCACACGATTCTGTTTCAACTCGATTAAAACGATGCTTACCTATTTCCTCGATTCATCCACGTTCACACGATCCAGTTTAGAGTTTCAACTCGATCCATCCATCTATCCATCTGAGTTGAAGAAGAAAATTAATTATTTTGCTAAGCTTATCGATTCAGAGTTTCAACTCGATTAAAATGAATTGAATAAGAAAGTTGGTTGCTTTGTTAAATTCACCGAAAAATGTATTACACACGATTCAGAGTTTTAACTCGATTAAAACGATACTTACCTATCTCCTTGATCCATCCATCTATCTAGTTGAAGAAATACGTACATACGTTCCAGATTCGTTCAGAGAGTTTCAAGAGAGTTTCGAAACGATATTTACCTACCTCGATCCGTCCATCCGAGTTGAAGAAGAAAGTTGGTTCGATCGCGGAATACGAAGAAGATCTCGGGTGCGGGAGAAGGTAAAAGTTATCGCGGAAGGGAGAGGAAAGAACGTGGGGTAGAAAGTGAAGTCGCTCCGTGTGAATGCCCTAGCGAGCATGGTTTGCTTGGTCAGGCATCGATTAACCATTCGAGGATCGACCTAGCCGTCGTTCCGGAATCGCCTCGATATCTCCGTCAATGCTTCTCTCTCCCTCTTCCTCCCTGCCTCTCTCTCTCTCTCTCTCTCTCTCTCTC